GGAACGTGGGCGGCTAGTTTGCAGTTGATGGTTCACCTGAAATCACTCAGTTTATCGGAATGTGAAATAAATGAACAAAATCTACCACATATTGCATCATCAGTTGGGGAGATGCCAAACTTGGCCGTTCTTAACCTTTTAGGCAATGAAGAATTGGGTGGTCACGCAGGAACGTGGGCGGCTTGTTTGCAGTGTATGGTTCACCTGAAATCACTCTTTTTATGCACATGCGAAATAAAGGAACAAGATCTACCACATATTGCATCATCAGTTGGGGAGATGCCAAACTTGGCCAATCTTAACCTTTCATTCAATGATGGATTGGGTGGTAACGCCCAGACGTGGGCGGCTTGTTTGCAGAAGATGATTCACCTAAAATCACTCGATTTAAGTGTATGCGACATAAATGAACAAGATCTACCACATATTGCATCATCAGTTGGGGAGATGCCAAACTTGGCCGATCTTAACCTTTCATTGTTGGATGGATTGGGTGGTAACTCCCAGACGTGGGCAGCTTGTTTGCAGAAGATGATTCACCTAAAATCACTCGATGTAAGTGCATGTGGCATAAATGAACAAAATCTACCACATATTGCATCATCGGTTGGGAAAATGCCGAACTTGGCCGACCTTAACCTTTCAAGAAAATGGGAATATAGTCGTTTCGTAAGAAAGTGGCCGGCTAGTGTGCAGAGGAAGTATTGTCGTTTAACGAGAACATCTGGCATTGAAAGCCGCGATAGGTCCGCTGAGGGGTGTCGTGTTCAGCCATGCGATAATGGCATACAGCTGAGCATTCAGAGGTTCTCACTTTCCGGCAAGGGTATGGCGGATATATTACAGTCATTCAGTAATCGGAGAGATTTGGTCAGTTTGACCCTCCGTAACATTGAAGGTCTGAGTGGTTCCGCAGAAATCTGGACTCCAACCCTACAAAACATGACAGAACTTGGCGAGCTGAATTTAATCAATTGCTCATTGCAGAGCACCGACATTGAACACCTTGCTGCAGCAGTAGATCAAATGCCAACCCTAGAAACCCTCAGCCTTGAGGGAAATGAGTCTTTCAGTGGCTCTGCACAAACATGGGCTCGCTGCCTGAAACAGGTTAAACACCTAAGAAGCCTGAAATTGGGAAGATGTGCACTGACAGAGGAAGATATGAAACGGATATCTGAGGCATGGGGAAGTGGAGTTCAGTTTGGACCTTCTGAAGATGACTAGATGTCCAATTCATGTCTGCGCTGAGATCTGTTATGTGATGCGCATGCCTGAGTATAGCCTACAAGATGAGCAAGCACGAGTATATGATGCAATTTTGAAGTCATTTCGAGTGAGCCGGTCTTAAAGTCACAACTTGTGAGAAACTTAGGAAACGCAGTACATGTATTCTACTGAATCAAGTCATTTTGTTTGAAGATAATGTATAACAAGATAATCGAAATACTGTTGAAACGAACAGAGAAATGATGCATATTCATTCAATATCTTAAACACAAATAATTATTCGTAATCAAGCTAATCCATTTCTAAACCAAAAAATAACACGTGCATTTAAGACGGGTATTGTTATTGATAATAGGCTTATTAAGATATTTGCAGAGACTGAACCCATTTCCCCCAACAATTTTGAGGACCTTGGGAACAGCATAAAAGTTTTTTTAAATTATTTTCTTACCAAATCTTGAATGCAATCTGCAACTTTATTAGTCAAAATATTGGAGTCCGTTTGCCACGGATGTCAGAATGTTCGGATGTAATTGTTATTACAATATTTGTTTGGACCTATATTTGGAACTCTCTTTCTACGAGACTCGCAAATAGCTCAAATATGCTGGACTTGGAATGAAGGGGCTAGGGGCAGGTCGTGCAAGAATTGGTCTCTCCAAACACATACAGCTACATGGAGTGCATATCATTCCGCCCTTGAGAACTGTCCTCTGTTTTAGCAAAGAAAAGTTGACCCCTGTTATTTTTTTATCGGAGGGGGATTGTAAAGCATTCCTTTGTATACGGGGAGAGTAGTTTGTACCCACTTCACATATTCGACAGCAATGATTCACCTTCAGCAGCTTGATATGGGACATGCTTACATTACCAGTCTCGATGTGAAATATATCACGGAATCAGCGAATTGCATGGGAAATCTAGTGGCTTGGGATTTCAGTAGTTTTGCTAGGATGTGTCGTGTAAAGCCATATGATGAAGGCATACGACTGGGCATTAAGGGGTTCTCACTAACCGGCTAGGACATGGCGGATTTATTTACAGGCATTCAGTAATCGGAGAGATTTAGTTAGTTTGATCTTAAATGACATTCGTGGTCTGACTGGTTCCCTGGATTATGGACCCAACCCTTACAAAACCTAACGCACCTAAAGGAGTACAGATTAACTAAATGCTTATCAGCCTTGAGGCAAATGATTCTTTGAAAAGCTCTGCCGACTGTAGAGTTCCTAAACCTTCCTCAAATTGGGAAATCGTTTTTTGCAATGCTCTGCAAAAACACGAGCTCCCAGTCTGAAACAAATGAAACAAGCCAGAAGCCTGAAATTGGGCGAATGTGAACTGGCAAATAGAGATAAAAAACACATATCCGAGGCATGGGGAAGCAAAGTTGATATTGAGTCTGCTGAAGATGACTAGATGTACTGTTTATGTTTTGGCTGAGATCTGTTATGTGATGCGCATGCCCAAGTAGCCTACAAGATGAGCGAGCACGAGTATATGATGCAATTTTGAAGTCGTTTGGATAGAGTCAGTCTCCAACTCACGTCTATGGTTCAAGTAAATTAAAAGCCCAAGTCACACGTTATGTAGTTGGAGTCAGAGTCATGGATAAGAGTCACTTTAATCAATCAATCAATCAAACCAAGGCAACGAAGCCTTCTATCGAATCCAGCCATTTTGCATGAACGCAGTGTATTACACAATAATCGAAACACGCGTATTAAACAAGCTGAGAAATGACGTAATACTTCTTTCGAAATCAATGTACCCAAGTGACTAATAGGTGAATTTACGTTAAAAAAAATACGCTTAATGAGATTCACGCTAAACTGAACGCATTTCTCTTTCCATTATTTTTCAGAGTTTTGGAAATGATGGTAATTTGTTTTGTTCACTGAAAAGTTCTCAGATTTTATCATTACGGAATCATCACAGCAGCCTTCAACTTCATTAGGCAAATTATTGAAGACCGTCTCTCACGGAGTAGTATTTTGCGGATCCAATAGTTTTGAAAATATTGTTGAAAAGTCTTCTAAAAAAACATTGGAAATGGAGATAAGGGCTTGGTATCTTTCTAGACACTTACAGACATTTGTAGTGCATATCATTTCATACATCAGAACTATCTTCAGTTTCTAACAAAGACAACTGGGCCACTGATAATTCTGGGAAAAGGATCGTAGAGCATTCTCCGTTCTCCTTTGTATACGGGTCGAATATTTGTTCCCGCTTCACAGACTTGACAGTAATGAATATCCAACCTGCATCGACATTGTGACAATTTCAGACCAGTGTAAGTGAGAGTTTAGTCCAATATGCAGGCTCAGTGTAAATGGCATCGTAATAGAATCGATGACAGCTTAATATCGGTTCTGTCGCTTGCCAGAAATGTGAATCGAGAGATTTAACTGATGCATTTTTTTTCCAAATAGATATAATAAATTGTAAAGACTGTAGATATAAGACTTAATTTCATATACACTCTCTTGAACAACGCACAATTAAGCTCTACGACCTACACAGCAAACTGTGGTTTGATTGAAAATTTATAGGATTTAAATTTAACAAAATACAGTAACAGTGAAAAGAGACTGCCGCCGTTTGAATGGGCAGAGCCTTGTTAGTGAACGGTGTAATATTAATACTTTCAGCTGAATAAATGTATATAGTGTGTATCTAATCACCATGTCATGTCGCCGATGACTTTTTGTAAGTCTGGTAAATATTTAACTCAGTATGGAATATATTACAATATTCATCCGTGGCACAATGAGAGTAGGACATGGAATCAGTAACAAAGCTTAAGATTTTCCTGAACATGGTTCATGCTGTTTATAATTTGTACATATCTTTAATACCCAACTTTTTATGAGAAATCGAACTGCAAGTTTTAAAGTGTACATATTTTACCTTTTATATTGTGCCACACGAGTTTATCACAACCGTTATTTATTGTATGCGACTGATTCTAACAAAACTGAGAAAAGTATCTTGGATTGAAAAGTTTACATACCATTCAATGTTTGTATTTATTTATTGGACAGAGGCCACCTGATTAATACGGTCGGTTTTAAATGTGTTAAACTCCTTTGGACAGTACACCAAAATTGCAGCCCGTCCTTTTGTCGCGATAACTGCGCATGTCATGTTTACCTGTGGCTTCATTTCATAAGTTATATAATATAATACTTATATCAGATATTAAAAGTTGATGATACCAAATTGGTTTTCTGAAACATTTACTGTTAAAGTTCTACACTTACTGTGAAAGAAACCAATTGTATAGTGTAAGTGCATCTTACGTCACTGAGATATCTCATTTTCACTTCAGAACAAGTCAGATTTTGTTAGGTTAACACCAGGTTTTGTTAGAAATCGATAATGAAGAGATGCTGACATTTGTTATTTAAGCTGTTACAAGTTATGAAGTTTCAAAAAAATATGTTAAAAGAGATGTGTCAGAGTTGAAAATTATGCTTTCTTGGAAACTGATTAAAACAGAAACACTGTGTCAATATATATCGCAATATTTCTGTAAGCCTTGCTACCTTTACACGTATTGAACATGATATTATATTTATCATGTGACTTGTCTGATAGTGATCATTTTTTCATTCACACAAGTTTTTAATGTTTTTTTTATATCAATCCCTTAATTCGATCCATATTCAAAGTTATTAAAGGGACGAATGATGATGATAACTAAATATGAAGCACAAACTAAGTGAAAGTTGAGTCATGATTGATGAGTCTATAGATCATCCAACATGGCTCAGCAAGGTTAGATGCTGTGTGATACATGGGCAATAATTTATCTGTGATTGCTTTAACTACTAAATACTGGATTTATCGAGTTTCAGTAATACATGTAAGGATGTGAGAATATTGCACGTGTACTTTTAACAGGTCTGAATACTGTTGTAACTATTTGGTTAATTGGGGAAATAACATTTTTTCCAGACGCGATTAGCAAAGTGTAAAAAAGGTTTGTCCGGTTTACAGAAAATCATCAAGTATAGTTGATTTTCACTTGATTAGAAATGCGTCTTTTTATTTGTCACACCCAACTTTTATCTCTCGAGAATCTGGAAGTTACTGTTAAAACAGATGTAGTTGTTTAATATATCTTTTGACGGACATCCATTTGGGACTCGAAATAAACTTTCAAATACACTGTAACCACGTTTTGTCGTCTTGGTTGTTTATACAGCATTTGCTTGTAGAAATGGGGTGTTGGAACATTTAGTAATTAACCAAGATATTAAAAGAATTTATCGTGTTCATGTCTGGACATTATTTATCAATTTAAATACACATTTCGTAGCCCTCCATCCATATTAAAAGTTTCGTCTACATGAGAGTGGAAACTTGATTGGACGATCCGCGGTCATATTATCAACATTTTACCAATTAATACACGCGGTTCATTACTGTGATTTATTGCTGTCCCCTCAAATTAGGAGAAAGTTTACTAATACAATGACAATACTGACTATATGAAAGCTGCGCTTGTAGTCTGTGCCATAACCAAGGTCAGTGACTCCGTTTGGCTGCTATGGCAACGAGGTGACGGGTGAACCGGTTCCCGCTCCGTTTGGAGGTCAGAATCGATGATGGAGGGCCTGGGAACCAGTCTAGTAGAAAGGCCTGTACAGTGCACGAGAACTGGGACGTTGCCCTACACAGTATTGAGAAACGATATTAGCATTACAAGTGAATTTTAATATCGGTATGCGGAAGTATTAAACTTGGCCCTTGCACTTATATCCGTCCAGGATTTCGTCATTTTTACATGACTGTTTCTTCCCTCCTTCGATCTCCATCGTGCAAACTTGATTAAATTGTTTCTTCTGAATAATTTAATGTGGATGTAGCAAACTCGCCAAAGCTGCTTCAGGTGGAATGCAGATGGAATTAACTTACTTGACATGATGAGGAATTGTCGGTGCAAAATGAAGAGTGCAGTGTTGCCGTGAAATTGACAGAAAGAGAGCTAACAGGTAAAAGTTATAAACAGGGGTATTTTAGTTCGACGAGTGTGGTGGTTGTTGGGGGCCGGGGGATGAGGGAGAAACTCTTCTTCTGAAAGGATATTTTAATGATTACTAATTGCTGTGAATATGCAATGCTCAAAGATATGAGCAATGAGCAAAGATAGTTGTTACTCTCTTTGCAATGTATTTGTTTGTTTGCTTTATATAAACATATTTGTTTTTGTATTTTGAAAGTGCGCCCTCATGTAAAAAGTGAGATTGAGTTTATTTTTGGATAAACAACCCAAAAAATACTACAAATGAGAACTGGATTGCACATCTTTGTTTAGTGATCAGACATTGATTTTTTTTTTTTTTACAGATATGATTCTTTCAAAAGCGAGAACCAAATAAGAAATAGACTGTTTTTCTCAGATTTTCATTCTTATTTTTGTTTCCTAAAGTTTCGGAGTTTTTAACCCTAAACGGGGCGGGGCCCTCAATTATTTTCCGCGATACCCTTGCAAAAGATTTTTTTTGACCCGAGCTTTCCTGACTTTTTAGCCTGGAGTCTTGCACTTCTTTTGGAGACCAAAAACATAAAATTCCCACTATGGGTTACCGTGCAGTGAAAAATGTGAAAACTGAATCACGGGCGTCGCCGGGATTTTTTTTAAGAGGGGGACAAAACATATTTTTTTCCCAAGAAACTCTTTCATTTCTCAATAAATTCTCGAAATATCAGAATTAGAGGGGGGCAGGGACATTTTGCCCCCCCCCCCGCCAACTCATTAAATTTACACCACTATGACTTCCCACCTCTTTTTCTTTTCTTTTTTCTCTTTTTGTTTTCTTGTCCCCCCTTGCCCCCCCCCCCCCCCTCGCGACGCCCATGAACTGAATTTCCCCATATGTGGTGTACACAAAGCAGCATTACCATTGGTGCATATGAATCATGAATTAGCCGTTAATTCCAAAACCCTTGAGCCTATCGGTTATGAAATTTCTTGGATGAGTCAATTTTAAGTTGTTTTGTGCATGCACAAGTTTCATAATCTGATGGGGGGGGGGGGGCGAATCCCCCGGCTGTGACATGGTCAAAATAACCCGGCTCCGTTAGGGTTCAAGGGATGGCATTCAATTTTTTTTTCCATTTCACCGCACATTTTGTTAATTCAGTTATTCTCACATAAGTAGAAATTGTTATATCCAGTCAATTACAAATAAATCACGAGTCAAATTTCACGCCCTGCCACGTCATGCAAGGCCACACTCCTTACTGTCCCATCCCTTCCCTTTGATCCTCACCTGCCTCCACACTCCCTTGGTCCCTCTCCTGGCTGTTTCATCCCTCCCTTCTTAACCCCCGTAGTTCCTTCCTGCCCCATTCCCTTTGATCCTCACCTGCCTCCACACGCCCTTGGTCCCTCTCCTGGCTGTTTCATCCCTCCCTTCTTAACCCCCGTAGTTCCTTCCTGCCCCATTCCCTTTGATCCTCACCTGCCTCCACACGCCCTTGGTCCCTCTCCTGGCTGTTTCATCCCTCCCTTCTTAACCCCCGTAGTTCCTTCCTGCCCCATTCCCTTTGATCCTCACCTGCCTCCACACTCCCTTGGTCCCTCTCCTTGCTGTTTCATCCCTCCCTTCTTAACCCCCGTAGTTCCTTCCTGCCCCATTCCCTTTGATCCTCACCTGCCTCCACACTCCCTTGGTCCCTCTCCTGGCTGTTTCATCCCTCCCTTCTTAACCCCCGTAGTTCCTTCCTGCCCCATTCCCTTTGATCCTCACCTGCCTCCACACTCCCTTGGTCCCTCTCCTGGCTGTTTCATCCCTCCCTTCTTAACCCCCGTAGTTCCTTCCTGCCCCATTCCCTTTGATCCTCACCTGCCTCCACACTCCCTTGGTCCCTCTCCTGGCTGTTTCATCCATCCCTTCTTAACCCCCGTAGTTCCTTCCTGCCCCTTTCCCTTTGATCCTCACCTGCCTCCACACTCCCTTGGTCCCTCTCCTGGCTGTTTCATCCATCCCTTCTTAACCCCCGTAGTTCCTTCCTGCCCCATTCCCTTTGATCCTCACCTGCCTCCACACGCCCCTAGTCCCTCTCCTGGCTGTTTCATCCCTCCCTTCTTAACCCCCGTAGTTCCTTCCTGCCCCATTCCCTTTGATCCTCACCTGCCTCCACACGCCCTTGGTCCCTCTCCTGGCTGTTTCATCCCTGTTTTGTGTTTCTCTTTCCACTCTTGCGTACGTTGGTGTCTCATGCATATTTGTTTTGTATGTACTACTGTTATTTGCCTCTGAAGCAGGTCTTGTTCAGACCAAAATGTTAGGCCAGCTAATTTTGTTGACAAGTCAAATTTATTTAATATATAAGTTCATTTATATCAGTTTAACGAATACCAATCAATAATGTATAAATGCCCAGCCGACAAACTCGAAAGGGTTTGGAACTCCTAGATCAAAGTACAGGGTCATGATGGTTCAAAGAATATAAATGGCCTCAGAACAATATCTCTAGAATAGCTTGGCATTGTTGTCCTTGGCGGTGTAATGTCAAGATCATTATGGTTCAAACGATAGAAACGGTTTTAACAAGATATGTCCAGAACTACCTTGCATAGCAATTCATTTCCCCCCTAAAATACAATGTATAACGGAGACATGTTTAACTTGCAGTCTGTGCAACAAATTGGGTCAAGTCTGTTGGACCGTAACAACGAGGAGTACCAACTGAACAGGTAGACTGGTTCCCGCTCCGTTCGAAGTCAAACTCGATAATGGAGGGCCCGGGAACCAGTCAAGTTGACAGGGCGTTACAGCGCACGCGCATTGTGACGTTGCCCCATTGTGAAATCAGGGGAATTCCATCAGGGTATTCTGCAGCATACATCCGTCCACAATTTCGTGATTTTCCCTTGACGATTTCTCTCTTTCTTCGATTTCAGTCGTGCATCCGTGGTCATTTGTTTCTTCGGAATAATGCAGTGTGGATGAAGTAACTGTCTCGCCAAATACGGATAGAAAGGAGATGGCATTTTACAAAGTCTGATGAGGATTTGTCGACACAAAATGTAGAGTGCAGCATTGTCGTGACACTGACCGCAGGAGAGATTAGCAGGTACACGTTCACAAACATAATGTACATGAGTTCATTTCCCCGTGATGGGTGGAATATGGGGAGACAGTTTGCTGTTGAAGGGATTTAGGAAAGAATTCCATATACGGACGTCACTTGACACCCTGTATAGTGTATACAAACCAGTATGAGACTGGTCTGACAAATACAGTGTAAATGAAATTATTCTGGAAATACCGTAGCCTACTTGAAGTACATATTTATTTATTTATTTATTTATTTATTTTTTTTTTTTTTTTTTTTGGGGGGGGCTTTTATTGCATGCAGTTTGCATATTTATGAGCAAAACCGCGATGTCAATGATGGTAAAGGCAACGTCGTTCCCATGATGCCAAGCACCACTATTGAAGAAAAAAAAAACGAGGTTTAAAACTCAGTTGACAATGAGTACATGGGCGTCGCCAGGATTTTTCTAGAGGGGGGCAAATGACTTTTTCTCAAAATCCCCACGTTTTTCAGCATTTTCCCGATTGATTATTTTTTCGAGGGTGGGCCAGCCCATTTGCCCCCACCCATTTCCTCCCCTCTTTTTGGGGAGTTGTTGGGGGAGGGGGGGGGGGCAGTGGCGTAGCACGGTCATTTGTATGGGGGGGTACAATTTCTTAGAAAAGGGCACTTGCACATCCGTGCTGAAATGTAGATGGGGGGGGGGCGGTACCATCTGTCGATGGGGCGCTGTTCAAAACTGACGATTATGCACACTAACGGACAATGCATGGTGCTTCGAAAAAAAGGCACTTGTTAAAAAAGGGCACTCTCTACAAAATATTGGGGGGGGTTAAGCGCTGGTGAAAAAAGGGCATTTGAATAGAAAAGGGCAGTCTTTACAAAATATCGGGGGGGGGGGGGTTGATACCCACGCCTATACGGGGGGGGGGGGCAAGCGCCCCCCCCCCGGCGACGCCCAGAATGGGGACGAGTTTGTGGCATTGGCCTCAGTGTCACGCTGTTTCATCAGCACTCAAAGTTGCCGACATTTGGGGATTGTTGTTGTGTTGAGCTGACTGTTATTGCTGTTTAATTTTTTCAATCTGTACAAGACACTGAAGACAGTTGGATGTTTTAATGAGCCACATCATGGATTAAACAATCCATGTACTTAAGTCCCTTGAAAAGGCTATGCCCTGAAGTGACACCACAGAAACGGCACCCTCAATGGACATTATAAAGTACTTCCAAAGATAATAAAACAAACATGTACTTTTACACTATTTTGCAGTGTAGTATTTAATGTTTTGTTTTCTAATGAAAGTTTGCCCTCACACACCCAAAATGTAGAACTCTTGTATGTTATACAAGAGTGACACTGGAGGAGAATAGACATTAGCTCAATTTCACCGAAGCACAGCTCTCACCAACGCCAGACGCTCCGCTCAATTGCCCCCAAAATCCATGTACTTCAAGCTCTGGCGCTGACGTGAACATACATTCATATACCGGTATATAATTCATTGACCTCCTCGTACTGCATATGGTCTAAGCTTTAAGATTGGGACATGAACCAGAACAATGGCGAATGACATACGTATAACGTATCTTGTCTTTTTGATCTTCTTTTCCCAAACTTGGTATATTGTTCACATTTTATAAATTGAAATGAAAACATATATTTTATTTAAAGCTGCCATCTACCTTTCAGTAAAAAGATCAGCGTTAAAAGAAATCATTTGAAGAAAACTACTCGCTTTACACGTTGAAGCTTCTATCTGAGGTGCCTGGAAGTTCGGTTTCTCGTAAATTCTCGTACGTTCTCGGGGTCAACTAACACGCTCTATTAGAAATAGAGTAAGTGGAATGTCTCAAAAGTACTTTGCATATCAACTTCAAAGTTGGTATTATGTAGAGTGGTATTTGGCATCATTGTGTTTGAGACCCTACAAGTCCATTAAAAGTCCATTACAAATCTTGCGGCCTCAAGTCAAGTCACTACATGTATAGCTATTTAAAGTCACCGGCATGTAGCTTGTAGTATCATCGGCATGATGAAATGTATTGAAATGCCCCCCCCCCAAATATTACGGAGTGACCACGAATTTAAAGATGGCGGTATCTGTGAAACGGTCCAACTCCATAATAACGGTGGATAGTATTGCACTGGTTTTAACACTTTTTCTTTTGTGTTCTTCCAGTAAGGATATTTTAACTCGAGCTGATTACTACCAAGATGCCGCGAAAGACCGTTCAACAGTTGGATACATACATTAAGGCAACAGCCGTCGTGTACGACCACTCCAACGCCAAACTCATCAGCAGGAAGACTAAAGTCAAACCAAGGAGGAAACAAGCTTTCCTGTCTGTACTGCATTACAGGAAAACGTCTTCTGGTGATTGCTGTGCAAAGAGGAGACCATCGAAACGATGGATCCGAAGAAAATCAAGGCAGACACATGAAAGTCAGAGGTAAACAGCAATGTCATTATACATTTAAATGAGGGTTATAATTGTTACTTAATATCGAAGGATTTGTTAAATCATTGCCTCTTTCCAGCTACTTGTGTAAAAGTTGAGTGAACTTGTGCAATACATTTACGAGACTTTCGTGACAGTGGATGTTACTTTGACTATAGCTTCAAAATGAATTATTCAATGATCCCATTCTATTTTAGAATAATTCATTTCTAAAACTACTCGGGATTTCCCCCTATTTTCACAGTAATACCAAAGACGTTAAACAGAAACTGCAGGTCTTTGTCCGGACTCCCCCCTTACACAAATCCAAGACACTTTATTTCGAACTCCATCCCGAGACATCTGTCTCATCTCTCAAAGAAGTAATCCAGAAGAAGATCAGTGTGGAGGCACGACATCAGCGCCTGTACATCAGGGAAAACATCCAGGTAGGTATCAATTTCAAATATTCGCATTGTGGGATTATATATTTTCCAACTGGGGCATCACGAAGGGGTACATTTATGTCTGCAAGAGGGGCACTTGGGTAAATCTGAGGGGGGGGGGGGTGTCCCCCCGCCACCCCCTTCCCTCGTGTTCCGCCGCCCCTGTAACCCGAAGAATATCAGTATCCATTCCTTCCCACTAGGCTTGAACGGACGTAATTTGATGGCTGTTTCAAACAAAGCACAACTGAAATCATCTCTCTTTCTACTCTGATTGTGTAATTTACTTTGTTACATGATTCACTTTGTTAGCTCTGTGACTTGCTCACACTCGAGGAGAATGGCGTTGACAAGGATGAACTCATCTCTCTTCGTCTTTTATTGGATGATGCAAATGACGACGATGTACTAAAAGGTAAATGGAAGAGGTTAGGAGTAAATGTTCGAGTAAAAAATCAACAACCTCAATTTGTAAATATATGATGAAAATAAGTTCAAGCAGTGCTCACCAGGAACTTTTGTCGCTAAATTTTTGGGCCTGACTAGGCCTTCATCGGAGCTGGGAGTTGAACTGTCAGTAAATGCAGAAAATTCAACATTCAGATCAAAATTTGAGCTTTTAACAAAGAAACAGAGTCTCTTTCTGTTGAACCTGTTGTTGATAACTTATAATACCGTGGCGGTCGTATATGAAAATGTTTCACCGACGTTACTCTGTCTTTTGACAGACAAAACCAGCATTGACGATGAGTACCTCAGAGACTTGTCATCAAAAATCGAATCATCATGGAAGGAACTTGCCAAACACCTAGGATACGAAGAAGCGGAGATTGCAGACATCCAAACCACCAACGAAGGCAGCACTGAAGAGAGCCGACACATGCTACTCACTTGGTGGGAAAAGACGACAGATCGCGACGAAGCAGCTCAGAAGCTGAGACGAACATTAGAGGCCATTGGGTTGACTGATTTAGCCCAAAATGTACCAGGTGAGCTAAATTAACGTAAACAAGCATTTTCTAAAATTCAGAAGTGATTTTGGACTGGACTCAGTTTTTTAGGACAACCAATATTGGTATGGTACCCTACTCTCACACAGAGCTCTTTAAACGAATAAATAGGCCTGAGCAATTAAGAACGGCCTCGTTGATTGTAAAACAAAATAGTAAAGATAGTTAAAAGTGATTGGTAAACAATACAATTATGATGCACTCTGTTTTCCTTCTTACATCAGTAACGAGCGAATCGAGTGACGAAGCAGCTGGACCCGAGCCAGAAAGGGGTCAAGATGCAGGAGTTGTCGAGGAGAGCAAACCAAACGGGGCGGCATCAACCGAAGAAGAAAATGTGACAAACGACGAGGTACCAAAAGGTAAATAACCAAGTTCGGGAAACGAATTAATATGTTCAAGTGAACAGACTACCTCCTAGGGAGTTTTTGCTATCTTTAGTTGAGCTGTTTATAAAGAACAACGATCTATTTTTGTTGCGGCTGTAGTTAATAATATACGTTTACTGCCATACGTTGACACCATATACGCCTGTGGGTGCACTTGAACATGTTTCACTGAAGGCACACTTTAAAACTCTATTGGCAGACAAAGCCGCAATTGACGATGAGTACCTCAAGGGCTTGTCCCTGAAAATTGAATCATCGTGGAAGCAATTGGCCAAACACCTAGGATGTGAAGACGCGGAAATTGCAGACATCCAAACCGCCAACGAAGGCAGCACTGAAGAGAGCCCAGTGGGCAAAATACGTTGAAATAACGTTGAAACAACGTCAGTTTCCGACGTTGAACTAACGTTGAATAATGATTGAATTTGAAAGTTTTTCTGACGTTGAAATGCCGACGTTGAATCAACGTCAACATTTCAACGTTGATTTTATGTTGAAAATTCTACGTTGATTCAACGTTGATTAATGATTGAATTTGCAAGTTGATCTGACGTTGTTTTGCTGACGTTAAACCAACGTGGAAAGCACAACGTTGAATCAACGTAAATATTTCAACGTTGATTTAATGTCGGACATTCTACGTTGATTCAACGTTGATTAATGATTGAATTTGCAAGTTGATCTGACGTTATTATGCTGACGTTAAACCAACGTGGAAAGCATGACGTTGAATCAACGTAGATATGTCAACGTTGATTTAATGTCGGAGATTCTACGTTGATTCAGCGTTGATTAATGATTGAATTTGCAAATTGAAGCGACGTGGAAATGTCGACATTGAAACAACGTTAAGATCACAACGTTGAGTTAACGTAGACATTTCAACATTGATTTAACGTCGACATCTCTACATTAAAATAGCACTGACATGATGTTCAATCAACGTATAAATAATCAACATTAAATGACATCCTATTCTTAGAAATATCACAGTTAAATAAATGCAATTCTTGAATCAAAATATTTTAAGGTTTGTGTTAAGATTTAAAGCCAGAATGTACTGATAATGGTGGATGTTGGCATTTTTCCAATCGTTCTATGTTAAATAAATTTGCAAGCTGAGGAGTGTTGTTAAATCCATGTCGAAATTGAATAACTTTAAATTTAAATGAAATTCTTTATCAATCACTTTAATTTTTTCCATAAAAAAATGTGTGTATTTATTAATTAACTTCCAACCTTATCAGCTTATACAACACCTTTTAGGTTTCAACAAAGTAGTAATTAATCCATACATAGTAAAATTCAGAATTAGATTGACTTGTTCCAACAGCATTATAGCCTAAACGAGGGTACTAGTCTCTAAAAAGATACATGATAATGAATTTGATTCTTTTTTCAAAGAAATGCAGCACTGCCCAGTGCATTTACATCGGAAATATAACACGAATTAACAAGCATACAGGTACAATTTTTAAACGTCTAATTTCACTTTTTTTTTTCATTTGCATACAATTCATATTAGTTTTCCAAATTTACCTGCAGCACTATTCTATCATATCTATGAATTTTCTTGTGAAATATTGCAAGAGGTTATGCGGCAGACTTGGGCAAGAGCATTAGAAACTATCAAATAGAAAATAATAAAACAAACAGCATCATTCATACAAAATTAATCTAAATGATTCAATTGAACATTTGAACAGGTCAACCAAGAATCAACAGTAATAACTAAATAATGCACAATACATGTACTGTAAATAATTATTATAACAGTCCCCCACTTCTCGAACGTGGAAGTTTCAAGATGAAAAGTACAAGATGCTGCAGAGGTTGAATTTCCATCACTTAAAGAGCCTTTACCTGTTACACTTACGGAAAGATACCAGCCACTCCAGAGCAACTTACTGTATTTGAACAATTACTATTAATCAACTGTTCCAATATTGAAATATTTAACACAGTCCAAAGGTACGACTGAATGTGAAGGTGCATGGGCCCTCAGTGTGTCCCTCCATCACCTCTTCTTTCAGGCGCAAACTTGACAGGAGATGAAAAACTCAACAAGCAGCAACATCCATCACCTTGCCCGATTACGAAGTTACTAGACCTCGCTAGAAAAGACAAATAAAAGATAGTGTAATATTTTAGAATTGCAAGCTTCCTCCCCAACCATCTCTTTATTCATTGACACAACCAAATCACCCTCAAAAACGAAAATGTTACAAACACAAACAAAGAGAAATACATACATAAACCATATTAGTTTCAACAAAGCGACAACACGTTTGGTCATCATTTTATGTGCTGACATTGTGTACAAAAAATCAACAGAATGATTCCTTTTATTAAACTTGCACTTATAAAAACTACCACTTGTATTTCCTGACACTTCAGCAATTATCAACCATACAACCAAGTACCACACAATGAGATTTTAACCAAGATCAATAATTGGTCAAAATAAATTAAATCTGGCGAAGAAAATTAAATTACCTGCGAAACTGAAAAGGTCCGTCTCCTCATCTGCTTTTTTTCAGTTCCACTCTGCCCATCATTGTTGAACTGTCTTCAATCACTTGGTCATGCACCTGTTGGATGAGAAAAAAAACAACGCTCAGAGACAAAAGCAAAGACCCATCAGGAAAAAAGATAACGGAAGAGTGTAAACAAACACAAGTTATTATACAATGCACTGTGACGAAACTTCTGCCAACACTCAATTAAGATATAGCCACAAATCTGTTTTCATTTTTGCGTTTTGTTAACGTTTTGAATGAACTGGCCATTGTGTCTGTTGTTCGCACAAGTAGAAATGGATTTGAATACCACTTTTTTTATGTGCGATGACTGCAATCAGAGCTACATCTCTGCAAGTGTTATTGACTTAAGAATAAAATAATCGGTTTTTGCCATAAAACTTAGCCCTGAATTTTTTTTTGTCGGCATATACATACCAGCTACGGCACTGCGAGTACTGTCCGAAAGATTTCAAACTGAAGCATCTTCGAAAGTCATACATAACTCCTCCATACTGGTTCGACAATCCATGCTGACTTTGGCTCCTCCTCAATTCCTGTATGAATCATTGCTGAGTGGGGTTTCGTCATCTGTGAGGTCTTGTAAACTCTTCTGGAATTTTGAAAAGGATTTTTTTCTTCAGAAGCTGAAAAAGTGAGATTAACTACCCTACCTGTCCTACCTGCCAAACTTAGACTCCGCATACTCCCCAAAAAATATGCAAACCATGTCTAGTATCTACACAAAACAAAAACAAGTTTATGTAGAAATACCACCTGCCTATGCAATGATTGATTACTTAGGCCAATACATTTACGTAATTACTCACTCCCTGCACCGTGAGTCCATTTTGTTATTGCACCATTCACAGCACAGGCTACAAACAGCGGTATAATTATCCATGCTTGCATTTACCTAAAGTTTTGATACAGAAATTTGTGTTATGCATTCTCACTATTGTCACAGCAACTTTTAGTTTTACACAAAGGATCAAGGAACTACCCAGCAACTTCCTCCGTTTTGTGACTTGTACATGTACAAGAGCACCGGGGTGGTGATAGCAACATGTGAAATCGAAATCGGGAGTGTTTATCCCCCACTTGATAGGCCTATTCCCTATGGAAGATAACCCACCTGGTTTAATAATCAGGGGAAGTAAAACGGTATAATGTACATGACCCACGACCTATCACCGCTGTGTAGCTGTACGAAGAAATCCAGTATGGCAGTAATTGACCTCGAGAAAATATACTGCATTCCATTCTACAATCACTTTTGGACGATCCATTTTTACTTTTTAGCCTGAAAATTACATGAAAACTGAAACTCTACAGTGCAGAAAATCGAATTATATTTTTCCTGGTTATTATTTTTTTTAACCAGGTAGGCTTAAGTACATTTCATCATCATGCATTTCATGTCCATAAGGTCTACCAAGTGAAAAAAAATGCAATTTCTATTTCCTCAGAAACAACTTTTCAATACAAAGGAAATCCAGTAATTGAGCCACATTTATTCATGGTAACAATATCGTCTCGGAAAGTTTAAGTCACACGTCCATTATACTGTACAGTTCAAAACGCCAATGGAGGATTATTTCTCAGGATTTCTCTCACTACTTTCCCATTGAACCCGTTTTAGTACAGCTCAGCAATACACTGTTCCGAGTGCCGGGATGCATGCGGTCGACCTGGTTCCCATACGTACCGGACGCCGGTATCATCAGTGACCATGCATGCCAGTGTCCCCGACCCCAGTGATGTGTCAATATTTGTTTATCGTTTTGGGGAGAAATTGGTTGCAATTAATAAGTAAGTGCTTCGAATAAACGTCAGGTATGTCTAAGCAACATCATAACAATAACTACGAATTTTGATGGCAAAATTCTTACCTGTTATTTGAGTAAAATGATGTCGGCTGCACGCTACACGTCCACACAACTGCAGTATGATGTCGAAATATGTAACGGTCATATGCTTGCGCGCCATATCGTGATTCAAAGAGAGTACATGAAAACTGATTGGCCAGCGTCACAACCTTGGAATGTAGAACAAATTACGCGCCGTGTGATTGGCTAGCGTCACAGCTTTGGCGTGCTGACAAATAATATGTTTTCATAAAAAAGGCCACAAAGTTCAATTAAGTCGGCTATTTTGTTTATATTTCTTGACATAATATTTTGCACTTTGATAGTTAAAATTATACGTTAATTGATACAGCAGGACTGACGTTGAAGTAACCGCGAGGATACTCAATTTCAAAGCAATGCAATATGTTTGATTGCGACGCACTTAATTTCGACATTTTTTCAACTTTGGACTAATTAAAATCCGTATGTTAAACAAAGTTTACCAAACCGACGTTGGTACATTTAGGTCGTTATCACGACGCAATTTTAAGCATTTATCCAACATCAGAATAATGTCAAAATACGTTGGAACAATTACAAAACTGACGATTGATAGACATTGAATTTAACATTGTTAATATCGTGACGCAATTTAAACGCATATTCAACGTCAGATTAATGTTGAAATCTGTACGTTGGAACAACGTTACCAAACTGACGTTGAATAGACATGGAATTTCGGTTGTCAATATCGTGACGCAATTTAAACTTTTATTCGACGTCAGATTAATGTCGAAATCTGTACGTTGGAACAACGTTACCAAACCGACGTCAGAGAGACGTTAATTTTAGGTTGTTAATATCGCGACGCAATTTTAACATTTATCCAACGTTAGATTAATGTCGAAATATGTACGTTGGAACAACGTTACCAAACCGACGTTGAATAGACATTGAGTTTTGGTTAATAATATCGCGACGCAATTTCAACCAACATTTAACGTTGGATTAATGTCGAAATATGGACGTTGAAACAACGTTACAAAACCGACGTTGGCTAGACATTGAATTTAGGTTGATAATATCGCGACGCAATTTCAACCAACATTCAATGTTGGATTAATGTCGAAATATGGACGTTGGAACAACGTTACAAAACCGACGTTGGATAGACATTGAATTTAGGTTGATAATATCGCGACGCAATTTCAACATTTATTCGACGTTGAAACAACGTCAAACTGTAACATAAAATCAACGTCGCAAAAGTGACGTTGAAATAACGTTGTTTTACGGTATTTCGACGTCGTGACGTCATTTCAACCAACATTCAACGTTGAAACAACGTCATGTGCCCACTGGGAGCCGTCACATGCTACTCACTTGGTGGGAAAAGACGACAGATCGCGACGAAGCAGCTCAGAAGCTAAGACGAGCATTGGAGACCATCAGGTTAACTGATTTGGCCCAAAATGCACCAGGTGAGCTATAAAAGTGAAAACTAGACCTACGCTGTATTTTCGAGGACATAGAAATAGAAATACTGAGGTATCCCCCGCTCTTTTTTGTTGGCAAATAAGCTATTAAAAAACTGCCTTGTAAATTTTTTAAACGAAATAAAAATGCAAAAAGCAAAATCAGTTAAAAGACATTCATTAACTATTGTATGCACTTTGTTTCTCTCCTAACATCAGTAACAAGCGAATGCAGAAACAAAGCAGCTGGACCCGAGCCAGAAAGGTGTCAAGATGCAGGAGTTGACGAGGAGAGCAAACAAAACGGGGCAGCATCAACCGAGGAAGAGAAACTGAAAAAGGAACAAGTTGGTGATCAAGACAAACCTCGGCTTTTTAGGTATTAAACACGCGATTAAATGCTGCTTTTCGTACTACAACTTTTTTCGGTTTTTATTTTAAAGATAAATAAATACAACTCCCTTTGAACACAAAATGCCCTCACCTAAATTATGGCGTAGAGAATGATTAAACGCCATTAATCTTGACCTTAATTCCTGAACTTTTATGTCAATTCCAACAATTAAAAAGCCTCACCATCAGAACCTTTTTTTCTGACATTCGCAGATATCTGCAGGTCTTCATCAGAAGTCACTGCTCACATAGACCGAAGATAATGTGCTTGCAAGTGGATCCAGAGACATCTGTCTTGCTCTTAAAGGTGATAATAAGCGAGAAAATCGGTGTGCTGCCTCAACAACAGCGACTGTTCATCCGAAGAAACTTTCGTAACTTTGAGGTAAAATTGGCTCCATATCTTACAAAGTAAACATGTTAAATATACCAATTAGCATTCCATTGAAATAAACGGCCTTGTGAGTTCAGTGACAATCTCTTCTGATTCTTAATACATTAGTCGTGTACAGATAGTGCTGCTTTTGATGTCGTCACAGTGGAGTTTACGCACTTAAGTTCATGAAATTTAATAGTTGTTGGTTTTACCCCCACTGATTTAGTTTCAAGGTGAAAATGCACCATCAAAAAATGTACATATATATTTAGTTATTGTACCAGCGTAGAACCTGAAACCCCAAACTGTCCTTTAACCCTATAAACCTTTAACCCTAAAGGGGCCGGGTTATTTTGACCATCTCTCAGCCGGGGGGCGGGGCGGATTCCGCCCCCCCCCCCAAGATCTCGGCCATCGAGTGACGAAAAATTTTGAAACTCGGCACATGCATAGAGCAACTCTTCCTAAACATACCCAAGAAATTTCATGACTATAGGTCAAAGGGTTTTGGAATTATGGCTAATTAATTATTCATATGTACGAATGGCAATTCTGCTCTGTGTACACGACGTATATGCGAAAATTCAGTTTTCACGGCGCGTAGCGCCGGACAATTTTTCGCTACGCTGCAACCCGTTGTCCGATTTTTATGTTTTTGGTATCAAAAGATGCGCAAAGCTCGAGGCTAAAAAGTCATAACAGCTCGGGTTGCGAAACATTTTTTTAAGAGAGGCTATCACGGAAAATGTTGAGGGGGGGGGGGGCGGATTCCGCCCTCCGGCCCCTTTAGGGTTAAATCTCGAAAAACGTGTCCTTTAAGAATCTTCTTTCTTTTGCCAGCTCCATAACTTGCTGACACTTCACGACTGTGGAATTCATCAGGACGAGAACATCTCACTCCGTCTGTGTACTGATGGCCTACTGGGTGGTGGACAAAAAGGTAAATACTTAAGGGAAACTTTACCTTTCAAGATGGAGAAAAACTGTGGGCGTTTAGCCCTCATAATTCAGCTGGGAATGCCACATCCGATCCTAGATCCTCCAACTAGATTAATTTCACGGGAAAAGAGCGGTAAAAACGGTAGATGCTCTATATATTAGCGGTAGTACATGTATTTGGATGTAAATAATATGTCACCACCTCCTTTTACGATGTTTTTCAACAAAGGCCAACACAAGAATAAGCAAATACTTAAGAAAATCAGATTTATTATTTGTTTGCTATTTCTTTGTGTTTATTTTTTTATTTCTTTTTTTGAAAATTTCAAACTAAAAGGCATCTTTTGCTTTTTCTTTGTGTTTATTTTTTCATTTCTTTTTTTGAAAATTTCAAACTAAAAGGCATCTATTGCATTGTAGTAACGAAGAGGATCAAGCAGAATGAGACTACATCATCTGAGGACCAGAGACAGGGACAACAGGGAGCTACTCATCGAGACAAACCGCAACCAGTGACTGGGACAGAAAGCAGATCAGGTAAATAATTACACAGAATCCAATGTAATGTGTTATCTTTCTCTCGTTTGCTATTTTCATTTGATTGTTTGTCCTTTCTATTATCAAGAACCGAATCGAGTTCAAGATGCACTTTTTCGTGCCCTTCACTAAGTTTTCTCTTTCTCTCCCAGCAAGTGTTAAAGGTTATCAATTTAAGATAAAAACTACTTTATTTCTGGTTTTTGGCGGCTGCAAACCTCCAATTCTGGGTTTCTTTTCAGCGCATAGATATCCGGTTAGCGAGTAGACTTGTTTCCAGTACTTAAATGTGGAGGGAAGTAGTTTTTTTTCTTCTTCAGGCTAATCAAATAAAAATTATGTAAATATGCGTGCACAAAACGTTTAGTGTTGCTGAATTAACATGGCATGTGATTTGAAAATAAGTTTATTGTTCAATTTTCACAGCCAAAAAAAATCGGCATTACTGTGGCATGTTATTAAGGGTCAGAGGTCTCAATACAAATTGTCCCAAAATTGTTCAGATTTCTCTCTATTTCCATAAAAAATTGTGCTCGAGCTAGTCCTACTTATAAATGACATTAATTAAACGTTGTTCTGATTCATGGCTCCGGAGGATTTTTTAAGGGAAGTTAACATTCGACAATTATTCTCTGACTGACTGACGCATGCGATAATTGACTATACTTTAAATAATTATGTGAACTAATCATTATGAGTGTTTCTTTGTTCGATATATTCAAAAGTAGAAAGTAAAAGTAAACATAATTTTGTTATTGGTAGAATAATAGAAATTTTAAAATCTAATAAACTGGAAAATCTATAATACATGATTATAAGCACCGACAGGACATCTTTAATCATTCGGCAATAAAGAAACTGTGTGCAGACCAGCACGCACGGTCTAAAACATGCAGTCCGACCATTAGGTCATGTTGTGAATGCCACACTTATGATTCAGTAACTGAGAGACGATGATCTTCACGCGGCGCTAGGTATGAGTTGATGGAAAAAATACGGACACAGTCCCCAAGCCAGATATAGTCGTGTTTTGGGGGTCGGTTTGGGTCGATTTTCCTTGACTTTGGTCAGGTCAGGTCGGGTCGGTCAGTTTTTACGGGGCTCAAATCAATTTCGGTTAAAACGATTGATGTTTGCTTTTTCTTTGTGTTTATTTTTTAATTTCTTTTTTGAAAATTTCAAACTAAAAGGCATCTATTGCATTGTAGTAACGAAGAGGCTTTTGTTGTATTTGGCAGACAAACACACTGAAGATGATCAGTTTTTTCGGGACTTGGCTTCGAAAACTGAATCATTCTGGAAACAATTGGCCAAATCCCTGGGATACAGAGAAGGCGAAATCAAGCATTTAAAAAAAATCTGCCAAGAAAACAAAGAAAGGAGCCTGCATATTCTGCTTTCTTGGTGGAGAAAGCAATCAAATCGCGAGGAAGGATTTCAGAGTTTGAGAGATGCGTTTAATTCAATCGGGCGTGCTGAGCTGGCTTTAATGATTCCTTCTGAAGAGCAAAGGAAGATGAAACAGGAAGAAGTTGCAGAAAGGGAGAAAAGGAAAACATCATCTGAGGGACGCGGACCAAGACAGGAGGAAGGTCCTCATCGAGACAAACCTCAACAAGAGGTTCAAGAGGCAGTGGCTGAAGAACAGATCAAGCTGAATGAGACTACACCATCTGAGGACCAGAGACAGGGACAACAGGGAGCTGCTGAGCGAGACAAACCTCAACCAACGGAGCAAGTGGGAGTAACTTGGACAGAAAGCAGATCAGGTAAATTATTACACAGAATCCAATATAATGTGTTATTTTTCTCTCGTTTGCTTTTTTCATTTGATTGTATGACCTTTCTATTACCAAGAATCAAACTGGTAAAGTTGTAATTTCGTGTTCTTCAACAAATTTGCTGTTTTGCTCCCAGCAAGTGTTTCACTCAAATACTGCAAATTTAAGATGAAACTACTATATTTCTGTTTTTGGCGGCTGCAAACCTCCGGTTCTGGGTTCCTTTTCAGCGCATAGACATCCGGTTAGCAAGTAGATTTATTTCCAGTACTTAAATGTGGAGGGAAGTAAATTTATTTTCTTCTTCAGGCTAGTCAAATAAAAATGTTGTTAATATGCGTGCACGAAACGTTTCGTGTTGCTGAATTAACATGGCATGTGATTTGAAATAAGTTTATTGTTCAATTTTCACAGGCCAGATAAATCGGCATTACTGTGGCATGTTATAAAGGGTCAGAGGTCACAATACAAATTGCCCCAAAATTCAGATTTCTCTCTTTTTCCATAAGAAAATGTGTTCTAGCAAGTCCTACTAATTAATGACATAAATTAAACGTTGTTCTGATTCATGGCTCCGGAGGATTTTTCAAGGGAAGTAACATTCGACAATCATTCCCTTACTAACAGACGC